AAATTACGTACAAAAAATATCTGCTTGGGTACTTTTGTCCAACTCGTGTTTCGGTTGCTAAGATTTGTGATTACATAGCTGTATTTTGGTTCGAAATATGGAATATGGTAGTTAAATTACAGAGTGTGATGGAATAATATCTTAATACTCAGAATAGGGGGGAGAAGGGAGGGATTGTTAGTCATAGCGATTAGTACCCCCATTGCTAGCAATATGTCTTCCTCGTGGTGCCCCCTGGAAACCATCGTGCTGAATTCTAGATGTATTCATCACGATAGCCTAACTGACCTGCTTTTTTATTTTCACCTATCATCCCTCATTGGTGCTCCGCCAGCGTATACCGTTGACGCAGACGGGGTTACCATTCCTTTACCATCCACAAAAAAAAAAAAACTCAGAACAGTAACGCATAAGGAATATCATGGTATAGTCTGTAATGTGTATACTGCTACTCATGTCAATAGGTGTTACATACAGGAAGAGCGCCAGCTTATTTGCTATTCCATGTTACATAAAGCAGTGACTTGTAGCAATTGAAAGAGTTTACTACCGCGTTGGTTTCGTATTCATTCTGTGACGATTGAAGCTGCCGTTTTCCTTTGCGTAGAAAATACTGGCCGTTGCGAAGCAAAATCGTGTTTGCGTTTCTGCATTCTAAATTCGAATGTTTTCAATCGAACGTGTACGCGAAACATCTCGTCAATCATCGGTACTTTAATTATAATCTTTTTTTTTTTTTTTTTTTTTTTTACAACACAGGGGGCAAACGAGCATGCGGCTCACCTGATGGTAAGTGACTACCGCCGCCCATGATCACCCACAACACCAGCGGCATTGCAGGTGTGCTGCCGGCCTTTTAAAAAGGAATATACTCTTTTCTTGAAGGTTATGTTGTCGTATCGGTTCGGAAATACTGCTGCTGGAAGTTGATTCCAAAGAATGGTTGTGCGTGGAAGAAAGTGCCTTGAAAAACGCACGGTGGAAGACCGCCACTCGTCCAGATGATTGGGATGAAACTTTAGTTTGTGGCGGGTTGTACGGTGGTGAAAATCAGCAGCAGGTATCAATCCGAACAATTCCTCAGAACACTCCCCATGATAAATTCGGTAGAAGATGCACAGAGATGCAACATCTCTGCGCAGCTTCAGTGGATCAAGTCGGACAGTAAGGCGTTGACTATCGATAATTCGAGCCGCCCGACTTTGAATGCGGTCTAACGGAAGGAGTTGGTACTGTGGCGCTCCTGCCCACAGGTGAGAACAGTATTCCATATGCGGCCTGACTTGGGCTTTATATAATTTCAGGCGGTGTTCTGGCATGAAATATCGTCTCACCCTATTGAGCACTCCTAACTTCTTGGAAGCTATCTTAGCCTTCTCCTCCAGATGACCGCAAAACTGGACGTCGCAAGATATATCAACGCCCAGAATTCCTAGACTCGACTTTTTATCAAGGGAAGTGCCCTGAAAGTGAGGAGATACGACAAACGGCGTCTTTTTTGCGGTAAACGCGCAGACTTGTGTCTTTTTGGGGTTAAATTGGACAAGATTTTGTTCACCCCAGATCGAAACTTGATGGAGTGAAGTTTCGATTTCAGACACAAGTCTATTCCGGCACTCATCGGTATGTGCCCGCGAGATCCTTGCATGACCGGTATATAATGTATCTCCTGTACTGTCGTCTGCATAGCAATGAATATTACTTATCTGTAACATATCAGAGTAGCTGTTTTTTTTTTTTTGCCGAGCATATTGTGTAAGAGAAGCATACACCATATTAGAGTTTCTTACTAAGCAAATTCAAAGATAGGGCCATCATCATTCTCATTTCAGTTAGTTAATTATTCATTGCTTCTTCCCCCGTAGACTGCCAAAATGAACGATTCTGAATTATCTGCATCCATGATGACCTGCATAGCGTAGTAGCGGACACGTTGCTTTGCACAAATGGAGCCCTGGATTGGAATCCTGGTCGGATCACTTTAGTAAACGAACTTTTCTGAATTAGTGATAAATTTGATCCTGAATGTTGTTTACCTGTAGATATGATATTATATATTATTATTTTATTGTCTGTTCCCTGGTTCCTCATAACACAGGGGATCCTAGTTTGAGGATCAAGATATTAGTGTGATTATGTGCATTTATTATTATTGACCCACATACATCCCTGAAATACATACAGTACAGTGGCTACTACATTGCGTTTATCAGTAAAAGGTCTTTTTTTATACAATTTAGAATGGCAAACAAATTTACGGCATACCTGATGGAAAGTGGTAATCATCGCCACATGAGCAGTGCCATGGACATAACAGAGTATACTGTTTCGCCCATGATACCCCCCATGCGTTGCCATTCCTGAGGACTCAGGTGTTATTCCTCTGTACCTAGTAAATTCACGCCATATCCCACCCTTCAAACCGAAACACAGCCATGCAAACACAACTGCTTCACGGTTGAAACACGAATGAGACAGAGGTACCCAAGCAATCGACTTTTGTACAAAGTCCTCACTAGAGAACCTACATTTCCTATCAAATTATCGTCTCTTCGAACTTCATGGCTGGTTTATTATTATTTAATCTTAGCTAAGACCGCTGACATTTAGTTCTTCTACGAATAACCTCATCTCGGATTCTATCACCCAAATAAGGACGTAAAATAGACAATAATTAAATTTCACGCAAACCATTTCAAATTATTGGACTTGTTAATTATTCAGATCTCATTTAGATTACTCGTTGCTTATGCTTAGCTGTTCATTTCGTATATATTACATTCAAAAGCTCTGTCGCCACAACGCACGTAATCCGACTGAGAGCTAAGTGAATGTGACTCGACATAATTAATGCTATTTAATTATTTATACAACTGTATAATTTTATATGAGACCAAGAGTTCGGGTTACTTGTCTTTAGTGAAATATGACTATGCCTCTACATTGTTACACGTATTTGGATATAGGGTTTATTTATAATTGTTAAATAAATTAACTTTATTACTATTAGGTATACAAAAGATACTAATGTAGTGTATGTATTTTTGATAGTTTTCCTAAAGGTCATAGATAATTCAATATTTAGGTAGTAGAAAAAGAAACAGATTATTTGTAACTATTTCAATGCATAATAGGACTAGCGCGGGAGTAAATACTGATAATTAATAATAATAATACAGAAAATATGTATCTATTGTGAAACAAATTTAATGATTAAATAATATTATAATAAACTTATTAATTTTATTTTTTTATACAACTTAGAATGGCAAACAAGCTGACGGCCCACCTGATGGTAAGTGGTAACCGTCGCCTAAAACCGTCGCTAAAAAAGTAATTGCGGACCACAATCACAAAAAAAATATATTTTTGTTTTCTTTTTTTTAATGTATAATAAGGGAATGGTAACCTCGCCTGCATTAATGATATACGCTGGCGGAGCACCAGTAAGGGATGATAGGTGAGGATTAAAATGCAGGTCAGTTAACCCGTCGTAATGAATATACAAGGAATTCAGCACAAAGATTTCCAGGGAGGGACCACGTGGAGATCGACCTAACAGGGTATATTGCTAGCAGTGTGACTGGCAGTCCGCATTATTAACAATCCCTTCCCTCTCCCCTCCTCTCCTAATTATGATGATTTAAGGATCACTTCTTTTTGAAGTCACTAACTAGAACTAACTGGCGCTTTCGACGTCGCATTATCTGTAACGACTACGGTAGGAAAGCTTATCTATATAACAAATAAAGATCATTATACCATGCTAATTCCAGCTACAACTTTAAACATTTGAACGCAAATGTTGTCCCAAACGAGTGTTCATACTTACAGTAATCGTTAGTATTGTAAATTAAAGAACTTCCTGGATATTGCAGATGTATAATTTTTCATAATAATAATTGCTGTGTGGTCCCGCCATAGAATAGGGTATCTCTTCCTTTCCTGTGAGTGTTGTAAGAGACTAAGGGAACCTCATGATTGAGGGATGGATAGAAACGTCTCTCTTTAAACATCCAACACCTCGCTGCGGTTGCCAACCAGCCTGCCAAGAATAACAACTACTAGCAAAACCTATTTATGGAGGAATAATACATAACGAGAGCGTAATTTTACATCAAGCATGGAGTTCTTAAAAAAAGGTTTCTTCAAAATCAATAGCTTTTTGCTCGTAATGTTCTTGATATTGCAAGTATCTTTGGACTTTTTCTTTTCATTTAAGAGTTTCCTCTTGTCGGTGCAACTAATTCATGCATCTTCTTCCAGCCAGCTCTATCCCAGGTCATATCCTTGATCTCCCTATACGACATGACACCTAGTGTTTCCTTTATCTGTCCCATGTAGTTATTCCTCGGTATCTTTGGACAATGGTACTATTATTAGTACTATTTTAATGCACTACTAAGTAGGTGTAAAACATACTCATAAGTATATTTTCAATGTTAGAGACATTAGTTGATTGTTTCACCCATATTTACCGAGTAATGTATCAGGAAACAAGTCTACCGCCATCTCCGGGTATTTTAACATAGTCGTAAAGTTTGTATACAAAGAAATGTTATTAATATAACAAGAAATTGTATTCATTTGAACTTACGACGTCTGGATCTTATGAGTAGTAACTAAGGCTCTCGATTGACTCAAAAATTACTTTTCCATAAAATACTGTACTTTAATTGAAAAGCTTTTGAAGCTTTATGTATGCTAGCCGCAACGCCGTATGATTTGAACTTCAGCGATGGTGTCTCATAAAATAGAACAGCTTTCAAAGGACAAAATATTAATATAAAAATAATTTATAAAACTTCTATACAAATTGCGCGGTCACGTAATCGATTTGCGACTTATAGAACGGAACAACTTTTCCCAAGGAACAAACCTTAAGAAAAGTTGTTCAGTTTCAATATATTGATTATTTAAAAAATCAAATTTCACATTATACACAATATTGACATATTCCAATTCTTTGTTTTAACCTTATTTTCGTTTCTTTGTTTCAGATTGAATTACAATGGAGGAGAAAATCACAAAAATAATATTCGTCCTTATAACTTTGGCTCTAATGAACGAAATGTCAATTAAAGTTCTAGCAAAGGAAAGTAACAAACGCCGATTCAGAGATAAAACTGGCGGCTTTCGAAAGAATATATGCGACGTCACAGATCGCGAGTCTAAAGTTCATTGCTACTGTGAAAATTCCAGAGAACTGAAGAATGCGACGAAAGCAGAATGCTGGGTATTTAATAGTGGTATTTTAAAGGACGATGTTATCTGGCAAAGTTTTGCCTCTCAACCAGCATTAAAAACGTTATCATTCAGCATCCGAGTCGATGGCACATTGAACTATATACCGTCGAAAGCATTGCACTACTTAAAAGATCTTAGATCTCTTACAATTAGATATGCAGCAATCACTGACATCACTCCGTACGCTTTCAATAATTTAACAAATTTAACTGAAATAATATTGCCTCAAAATGAAATAGAAACTTTTCACCAGCACGCGTTTGCTCATTTGCCGAATCTAACTCTAATAAATCTAGAAGATAATACGATTACGGAGATTGGCACAGAGGTGTTTTACGATTTGCCCGAGCTACAGAAAATTATTTTCACTAAGAACAACATATCATCGATAGCAGATGGTGCATTTCAGTACTTGTACAAATTGCTAGATTTATTTTTGAATAGAAATAATATATTCCGTATGAATCGCCACACCTTTGATGGGCTGGCCAACTTGCGGAAATTGGATCTCAGACAAAACCACATTCATAATTTGACTGAATTCACATTTGCGGAGTTGTGGAATCTACAAGAATTATTACTAGGCAAAAACTATTTAAAGTACGTCTCGGAAAGGGCTTTCGATGGCCTGTCACAACTCAGAAAGTTATCACTGGATGATAATAAATTAGTCACCTTACCGTCTGGTTTATTTGCGGGCGTGAGGGGTTTAATCTCTCTGGATTTACGTTCCAATGAACTATACACATTAACTTTAGACAACATCAAACCCATATTGGACAACTTAAAGTCACAGAACAGTAATTTGTTGCTCCAAGGTAATAATGAATATTTAATACCTCCCTGTATATACTTTGACAAGTTTAAAACGCACGTTGAATATTAAACGTGTTGATATAGATACGTCATTATTATCTTTAATACACTCGAGAAGTTTGTTCTTTTATTCATCCCAAGAGTAAAACAGTCGTAAAGTTGAGGTGAATAGAAGTATAAAGTGTTGTATAAACCGTTGATTTTAGAATAACTTATGAATTTAGTTTAATCATCTGGGAAAATGTCCTTTCCTAAATCTTGTAATCTAGCTTTTTAACGTTGTCCAATACAACAGATTCTCAGTCATTTTCTTGTGGCTATTTTACGCAATTACGCTAATTCTAAACGTGTTTTGATAATAACGAGTATTTTTGCAACAGACAAGGCTGCAACAATCATTTCCAGTATAGGTTTTACATTGCCTGATATCATAATAATTGGAAGTGTAACTTTTTGCTATGCATCAGGAGCAAAATATTGTATATTGACATCTATGATTATACATTCTAAATTCAAATATCTTAAATCTAATGTATCAATGAACACGCACAACGGCCCAAATGAGAGGCTAAGTGCGGAAAACAGAGTCTTTCTTACATGTATCAATGACACATCATTTATAAAGTAAAACAGAGTACTAATAGGGGCATTGTTTATAAGTACCTCTATTTGTAATTATATTTTTATTATTTCCACAGATAACAATTTTGTATGCGACTGCAGAATGAAATGGATACACACACTGCGCAATGAAACACAAAGTCAAAATACAATACTGGCGCTGGATAATGTGACGTGTAACATGGATCCAACTGTAGTCAGCACCGCTTACAGCAAAATGTTCCACGTCATAGAATATAAAAGAGATCGCCATCACGGGATATCACAGGCAGACGACAAGATAAATATCTCAGTATCTCAATATATAAATATCTCCGAGAGAGAAAATTCTCACAAGGCCAAATATTCAGATAGAAAATCACCGACTAAGTTACCTTTGACCAGAACTTTCTTTACAATACCACCGGAGAACTTACCCTGCCCCAGAGAAGTTACGAAAACCACAGAAGTGCCACAAATTGTGATGGATCCAGTGATGCCATTGCAGAATAAAATTAAAACAAATAGACACCAAGAGATGAACTCTGCCAGATCAATTAAAATAGTAACGATTCTATTGTTTTACGTTCCCGTTTTGTGCACATTTGTGTAGTCAATTTGGTGAAAATAGTGATTAAATTTAAACTACAGACTTTAAGCCACTAGTGTGTATTTGAATTGTAATGTAATAAATTAATGAGCACTTAAATGTTTATGCAAAGAAAATTGTGATTATAATTATCATATAAATGTCGTAAATTATCGTAATATTAATATTACGTAGATTAATGTTGTAAATTAAATTCATCTCATAAAATTACCATTTAAATTGCATTATGATTTATGCCTTTTGTATATACACAGCGTGTTAGTACATACATACATCATTGTTGTTGCACATGTAAATCCCTGCGGGGCATTGAAATGTAACCCGTTATAGAACCCCGAACAGAACAAAGGTTTTTTCATACTGTATAACCTACTGTCATAAAATCTTCTGATATACCCAAATAGAATAAAGAAAAATGGGTTTAGAATTAAAATATTATATTTTCAAATAACTTTTTTTTTAATATATTAATAAATATTTTATTACGACTGATTAATATCAAAGAAATGTATAATAAATATGTAGGGATTAATTTATTATTTTAGTGCAATTAATAATTTTTGATTGTTAGAAATAATTTATTGAAAAATTTTAGATATATAATGGGTTTTATGAATATATATGTATATTTACAGTTTACATATATAACATCTATATTTCAAGATACAAAATAACTCTGTACTTTACTGAATTATACTTTTTTACATGTTAATAATCAAATCATTGTAATATTTTAATGTTCATATTAAAATTTGAAAACATTTTGTAAATTTGTCTGGCTTGTATGATAAAAATGTGTCAACTCAACTTTTTATTGCCAGAATATTGTAACAAGTTACTAAGGGAACAAAACACTAAATACTAGTGGCAAACAAGGAAAACTCAAAATAATTCCCTGTACCGAGCCACGTGGCCAGCATAGTAATAACGGGAAAAACGGGAAGATGAAAGGAATAGGAAAATGGTGATGGAAGGGCATGGTGATAGCTATAACCATATAACTATGCATAACTGTTAGTGAATTTGAAGAGAGTGAGCAGGAATGGACTCTGCCCTCCTCACTATTGTCACGCTAAGCTTAAAGATATATCTTAAAAGTTTATACGCCCCATTTCTCGCAATAGTAATCTTAAATACGTTAATCATAGTGGACACTATCGCTTGCACTGACATTATAATGCCTATTAATCCTTACGTTACCGTACATGCTTGTAAAGTACTTGTATTATGTCTCTATATTCTATAAACCAGGACAAACATGTAAGCCCATTTACGTGACGGTAGAAATTTAAATTCACGAACGAGATTACAGAAAAAGGACAGATATAAAAATGTGTTAGCGGTAACTTACATATGTTTTTTACATATGTAAGTTACCGCTAACTGTATAACTATATACCTACTAATGATTTCTGTATAATGATTCTCAGTCAGATTTGAATTTATGAACTTTCTGCGAAAGAGATATATACTATAAAGAAGAGTAGAAAAAAAAATAAACCACAACGCTTTTAAATTAATAAATTTTCACAAATAATCGTAATTCGGCTTAAATTTGTTCACCTCATGCATATATTGATAATTATTTAATAAAAAAAAAAAGTTGTATAGGATATTTGGACAAGGTGTTTTGTATGAATAAATTAAGTGTAATTTTTTATATAATGTTGTTTTATTTATGTCTAATTATGTAAATACGAAACCGTACAAAGCGATGGCGGGTATTAAGGCGTGCATACTTAGAAAAGGAGCGAACAACAACACTCAAACCGAAGTACAACAAGCCATATTGTTGTTTGGCTTAAACTTCACAAGAGTCAATGCAATCTCTACTAAGTCGGTAAGTTCCACGAAATCGAGCACAGAGTCTTCCCACTGAGAATCCCATCAGTAATGCCTTCTTCCAGATCAGAGAATGTTATAAAAATATTCTATTTATGATGTTTAAATAGACATGTTTATTAAATAAATATTTATTAAATAGACACACACAGAGAGAAACACACACAAAAACAAACACACGCATGCACACACGCACAATCATAATACTTATCCCTACATGTGTATTGGTAGTGAAATCTAAGTGAAATGATTTTTTTTTGATGGGTGAAAATGGTATGGTAACCCCGCCTGCGCTAACGGGATACGCTGGCGGAGCACCAGTGAAGGGTGATAGATGAGAATGAAAACAGGCCAGTTAGCCCATCATGATGAATTCATCAGGAATTAACCATGATAGTATCCAAGGGGAACCGCGAGGAGGTCGACCTGGTTGGGTATATTGCTAGCAATGGGATTCTCAGTCTCCATTATTAACAATCCCTTCTCCCCAAATGAAATGATTGCATTATACAAATTAGTTACACAATTGTGAGTACTGCTAAAAAGCCTATGTTTAATATCTATATGCATGTATGTGATAACACGAGTTCTGCTTCCTACAGGACAGGCTCAGCCTAGTGTAGGAAGCAATGATAAGTTCTGTGCTAATACAAACATACTTTGTTAAATAAATATATGTTTATCTTATCTTCAATTCGATTATATTTTTACCATATTCGATTATATTTTTTAATGGATGATAATGGAATGGTAACCCCGCCTTTATTATCGGTATACACCAGATGATTGGTGGGTATGAAAAAGCAAGTCAGCCTATCGTGATGAATTCAATGATAAATTAGTCACGATTGTTTCCAGGGGGAACCGCGTGGAGGTCGACCTGATAGGGTATATTGATAGCAATAGGGACTAATTCTCCCATTACTAAAAATCCCTTCCCCCTTTTTGATAGAATTATCTTTATTACTCTATAACTAGGTCAGTTATAAACCGATTTTGATTTTTTTTAATTAAAAAGAATTATTTTCGGTTAGGCTCATAGAAAATTTATCAAAATCGGTTCAGTAATTTAGTTATTAATTCAATTTTTTTGCCAGAATTTAATTCGGCTTTCTGTGAAACATAATCTTAAAATGTTATGATTCTACTACTAGGATCGAATTATTATCTACTGAGAAAAATCCACAAGAAACTCTGCGAAGAGAATGGAAGTAACAGTTAAAGTAAATTTATTTTTATTTATTTATTTATTTCCAGACAACTGGGATCCATTCTTGTTAGTAAGTGTACTTAAAAACTATGTTAATACTTAATTACTAATAATGATCTAGTCCTCTCGGAGAGCATTTTCACGAGAGGACTATCCAATTTATTAACAAACATGTTCAGGATACTGTTGCTACTCCCGCGTATTCGACGTAAAAACGAAGCTGTCTTTTTTCGCCAGACTGCGTCAAAACTATCTGTGCGAGCGTCGGCAAACATCGCTGAGGCGCTACAGAAGCGCGGAAGCCGCAACAGTAACCTGAAACTATTATTAAATTGGATACGCAAGGCATTGCAGGCCCCCCGAGTATACTGGAACCACTGACTCGCCGAATACAACGATGTACAATACGCTTTAAATAGTGTTATTTTTACTGCATCTGTACATCGCGCAAATCGGCGAGACAACATATTGGCTCGGACCGACAAAGCCCTACGCTCCCTCTCCATATCTACATCGTCTCTAAGGCTGGTGGTCACCAGGTGACCAAGGTATTTAAATTGATGCACTCTTCTAATTGGAACACTATCCAACATAATAGGAGGTATATATGTTGGACACCTGGTACCCGCCTTAAAGACCATGTACTCAGTTTTCTTTACATTGTATATCAAACCGTGTGAAATAGCATACGACTCGCACACAGCGAGCAGTTTTCTTAATGCACTGACCGAGGGAGCCAGCAACACCATGTCATCAGCATAGCTGAGGTTATTAACACAAACGCCGTCCACGTAACAGCCAACGCGCATGCCACTGAGTCGCTCGATCAGTGAATCCATGTATAGGTTAAAAAGTAAAGGTGAGCTTAACCCTCCCTGTCTCACCCCACTCTCCAGTCTGTATGACTCCGAGAGCTCATCTGCCCATCTCACACGATTCTCCTGTTCAAGGTACCAATATTTAAAAACCGAAATCAACTCTGGAGGCAGCCCGGTATCATTTAATTTCTGCCATAAAACGTCATACGACACCATATCGAAAGCTTTCGAGAGATCTAGAAAACAGGCATAAACTGGAGTCTGTCTGTCAGTATAATATTTGACAGTGTGCTTTAAACTAAATATAGCAGTCTCGGTAGACAATCCGGGCCGAAAACCAAACTGTCCGTCATGAAGGTTTATATGATTATGTAAGTAATAGTTCAGCACACTATCAAACACCTTGGCTATAATAGTTGCCAAGGAAATGGGTCTATAATTTGATTTATCTGACATATCTCCCGTCTTGCTCTTGACAATGGGTATCACCAGAGTCGACATCAAATCTGGAGGCAAATACGAGTGACTCACACATACATTGAATAACATTGCGAGTACCCGTGGAAGATGAGAGCCAGCATGTCTCAGGTGCTCAATGCTGAGGTGGTCGTGCCCCGGTGATTTACCTTTCTTCATTTTATTAATTGCATACTCAATGTCTTTGGTTACAATTTTCGTTGACACTGTATATTGACCACTAACATTGAGACGATGAGAGACCCCCCGAGACGATGGTCCCAAAGGCGAGTGCACTGTAAAATGTTCCTTAAATATTTTAGCAATATGTGCAGGCCTGGAAGCGCCATCAACACTCACCGGAGTGCCAGGCTTAACATTCAGCTTGTTGGTGGCTTTCCAGAATCTCTTAAAGTCACCTCCAGAGTGATGCGTGGCTATTTGGTCCATTCTGATTTGTTCCTGATGGCGCTGACACCATCTCAGTCTACCCTTAAATATCTTACGTGACTCGATCATACGTTCATAGAATGGCCCACTGGAAGGTTTTCCAAAGAATAACCACTCACTAAAATGTCGCCTGGCACTCAAATGAGCCTCGCTCACATGCCTATTCCAACCTGCCAAAGTACGTTTATCACCCATTTTGTTACACATATTTAAATTAATATTATTTATGTAAGTATTAGTAGCAGCTTGGTATAGTATGTTTACAATATTTTTATATATATTATTTATAATATATCTGTGATTTATATGATCACAATATATGAAAACAATCTCTTTTAAAAGAGAAAACAACAAATTAGTTCCAGAACATATTTACAAAATTTAAAATCCCATAATGTCTTTGTTAGCATCTCAATATCTTTACAGTTTAGAATTAGACTTTATTTATTTGCTGAAATAAGGTACATTTTTATAGGTGTTACAATAGAAGGGAATTATAGTCCAATCTTTTTCGACCACACTGTGGGCGTGCAAATATTAACACTTATTATATAAAAAATAAAAATTATATCATCGTAATACTGCCCGCTAATAATTAATGCTCCTTTCCGCTCAGGGTTTGCTGGAAGAGAACTCTTACAGAGTTAAGCTCGACTGTTGTACATTTTTATTTTATATATATATTATATGTTGTAATTTTTTTTGTGTACAATAAAGAATAAATAAATAAATAAATAATTCCCAAAGAGGGTTGACGTCAGGCAGGTGGCTGGTCGTAAAACTAAAAACCAAATCTTTTTGTAATATGGATAAAAACATATTACGCCGACCCCAAATGATTGGGATAAGGGTAAGATGATGACGATAGTTAGATACTCTTTATTGTTTCCTCCAAAAGATTACAATATAATCACAATGAGAAACCAATGGGTGACCTTATCGCTAAAAGCGATCTCTTACTCATATAGCAAAAATATTTTGTCACTTTTTTCTAAATCACTACATAGTATAAAACAAAATCGCTGTCGCTGTCTGTCCGTCCCTATGTATGCTTAAATCTTTAAAACTACCCAATGGATGTTGAAGCGGTTTATTTTTATTGATAGAATTATTCAAGAGGAAGGTTTATATGTATAATACATGCATATTATTGTATAGAAGCACTGGTAAATTTAGAGGTTTCTAATGTGATGTCGTAAATAAACACATTTTTTGCGCTTACGTTGCAAACGCTGGCTGAACCCCACGAGATAAATCAAAATAATGTACTACAGTATTGTATACCTTAAAAAGGTTAACAAAAAAGTCTGCGATGGTATATGTCTATCTCTTAAGGATAACCCACAATAAAAATTTTTTATCCTTTACATTTTACAGAAAAAAATGGCTTATTTACAAAGTGATTTTAAGCAATACAGCATTATTTTTTATCGAATAAAGTACCTTAAATACATTGTCCATTTAATATAGATCAATATGGCCCTTCACAGCATGTAATTTAAGTGAATATTTTCGAAGATATTGCAGATTTAAAATGCTGGGTCATAGCGGTGCGGCATTGCACCCGTGCGAAGCCGGGGCGGGTCGCTAGTAATACATATTACTTAAATAGTTATATAAATTTATTATAATATTATAAAGGCTGCAACAAAGTGGACACATATTATATTTCATATTTTTTTTATCATTTAAGTAGTCTATTACTGAGTTAATTACATTTGTTTAGAAATAACTTGAGTTTACTTAGACTTTGAAAACTTAAGTAATCACTTTGATTTTTGAATACATTTAAAAGTTTTTAATACAAATTACAATCAAACCAATATTGGTATTATTAAGTAGCTAACATTATTCTAAGATGAATAGAATACTTAAGAGAGCCTGTACTTGTGAATAATAGTTCATAATTATTCTAACCTTTAGTAAGTAAATCTGAGCTAACAGAATCATGCATAATAAAGAGTAGTATCTCAATTTGTATTCAAACAGATCTAGCCCCACATCCACCCCTGTCAAGTGCGCAAATTCGTCTAATAGTGGTGGCAACAAATTAAGCAGGGCCCATAAATTTTATTCGAGGGATGGGAAGATTTTAAGGGATTTTGGTATTAGCTGTAGTAGACAAAACGGTCCAGATAGCGGAATTATTCGGAATAAATGAACTGAAAGTGTTCGCATCGCTTGCATACACTCCGTGTAAGTAGGGTTGCCACCTGTCATGTTTTTCTATTATACTTGTACGTCCATGTGTTTAGAGTATCCTGGGGTATCCCTGACCACAGGTATAATACATATATATAGGTATATCTGTTAACTAGTATTTTCTAAATTAATTTTGTTTAAAGAACTATTATAGAAAATATCCTTTTGATTGCATACGATCTATAATATGTCACTCTTTATGCATTACTAACAATCCAACCGGCAGCGAACGGGTTTTTTTTACATAACATATAGCCAATAAGAATTTTCAAAATGTCAAAATATATAAATCCAAAAAATATTTAACCAATATTTTTTGGATTTACCCATTACAAACAAAATACCAAACCTATCTTTATTATAATATTAGTTAAAGTGATGAAAAATATGATAATTAACAAAGAAATTGTATTCTTTTTTCATTATTTACATTAATTTTAATAATAAAATGTAAATATTAATAATAAAATGTAATTATCATTATCTTGACCTGTTTACGTTCTGTACATGAAAAACCATTCAAATCCTGGTTTCCATAATTTGATAATGACAACCCTAATATAAACAAAGGATACTTGAATATATATTGTATGCATATTAAATATAAAAATAAAACAAAGGATGGTCGGAGATGAAGTTATATCAAAATTATCGTTGAAACATTGTTTATTGAACCGATTCCCTACTTCTCACATATATATGTTTATAACAGGAAATTGTCTATCTGTATTAACATACTAGCTACCTTAAGAATAGACATATATATATGATGGTTACCACTTTCCATCAGGTGCGCTGTCAGCTTGTTTGTCATTCTAAATTGTATAAAAAATAATATTACTTTTTTTTTTACTTTTTTATTTAGAGACGATCCCTCGACTGTAAGTTCCCTTAGCCGCTTCTTATGACACCCATGGGAAAAGAAGATTTTTTTTTTTATTGGTGATAATGGAATGGTTACCCCACCTACGCTAACGGTATACACTGGCGGGACACCAGTGAGGGGTGATAAGTGAGAATGAAATGGCAGGTCAAGTAGCCCATCGTGATGAATACACCAGGAATTTAGCACGATGGTTTCCAGGGGGGAGAACCACGTGGAGGTCGACCCGACAGGACCTTATGGGGCATATTGCTAGCAATGGGACTCATAGTCCGCAAGAAGGGATGCCCCTACACAGCTATTATATATCTATACTTATAATAAATCTGTAGAGAGGTCAATTCTGTACATGAAATATATTTCCAAAATAACTATCAGGGGGTGTTTAGTGATCGATACTGATGCCAAAAATGCAATCAGTAAAACTTTTGTCTGTCTGTCTGTATGTTCGTTATAGAAACGAAAACTACTCGACGGATTTCAACGAAACTTAATACAATTATTCTTCATACTCCTGGGCAGGTATACTTTTATAGTACACTTTTCATCACACTACGATCAATAGGAGCAGAGCAGTGAAGGGAAATGTTGGGAAAATGGGAGCAGTTACTCCATTTTTAAGCTTCCATCGCGTGTGCAGCCTTAATGGCCACTTTTTAAAATGTAAAAATGTCCACCCGTGCGACGCCGGGACGAACCGCTAGTAATCAAATATAATTTAAAAAAATACATAAATGGAAAAAATATAAATATTTTCCCATTAATAGAGACAGGTACCTACATTCAAATATCTTTCATTACAAATTTTCCCATTAATAATTAAAGTCAAATAATAGTATGTCTGTTGTAACCATGTAAACAAGTCCATTTAAACAGATTTTTCTTATCTCGTCCCAATCACGGGTCGCACTATATATGGTACTATAAATAAAGCTTATTTACGAGTGTTAAAACCCGGATCTCAGATAACAGTGAATAAACAACATTTCAATTTTGCCTGCACCCTTATAAATAGGTCCCTAAAATTCAAACGGCGTTCAACTTGCTACTTTAAAGCACTATCAGCATCATCTAAACAATGTAATGAGTCTATCCGTAATCTACTCAGAGCTTAACCCCCGAAATAAAATTTATGTGATAGGCTTAATGAGATTTAGGATCAAAGGGGGACAGTGCAGTTAACAAATAAGGATGTGCTTGTTTCGTCGACGATTCGATATACGTGTAGTTCAAATAAACTACACGCACGTTTAACTTGTGTGTCGTAAAAGAAGATATGTTAATTTGTTTTTTAATTAAATTCTGTGTTAACGGATGTTATAGGAAAAATTTAATAAATTTAATAAATTAATAATATAACGGCAGAATATCGACCTGAAACGATTTTTACCCAAGTAGATTCTGATATATTTTTTAATTTCAATTTTTAGTTTAAAATCCAAATTTTACTATAATATCCGAATACATATTTTACATAATTAGTTACCAAATATATATTTTTTTTAATCTCACAAAATTTATTATTCTTCGAACGTAATTTTTGCATTATTGATTTCAAGATTATAAAGAGTTTACGTGTTATATTTCTTTGAACAAAAATATAGTATATATATATATATATATATATATATATATATATATATATATATATATATATATGTGTGTGTTTGTAATTATGTTCTTTGTTGTTTTTATGTAAATAATTAAACAATGTAATAAGATAATTGTTTGTATCGAGAGATTTCACACTTCGCTTCCACGTGCTTTATATTTAATATTAATTTATAGACTAGATATCTATAAGAACATTTAAAAAAACATTAACCGCAAATATATATGTTCTATAATATGTATATCCCACAGCCCTACGTATTATGGAGACGCATACTCCTGAGGCACTAGCCCTGGATGTAGTCTGATTGAATGACGCGTACTGTGAACAGTGAAAACCGATATTTCCTCTCCGCCCTCCGAAAACACAGACTTTATCCATCTGCTAATGGTTGGGGGAAAGGGATTGTTAGTAATATGGTTTGATAGCCCCATTGCTAACAATATCCATCAAGGTCAACCACGTGATTCCCCCTGGACACCATCGTGGCTAATTCTTGTTGAATTGGTCACGATGGGCTAACTGGCTTGCTTCATCGTCACCTATCATCCCTGACTGGTGCTCCGCCAGCGTATATCGATAGCGCAGGCGGGATTATCATTTCATTATCTATCATTAAAAAAAATCTGCTAATGATTTGGGAGGTGGCAGCTCTGAAAAGACTTTTAAAGATCAGCATCAAGCGTTGATCGTCACCACTGCTTAAGCATTTTGTATGTCAAACAATTTAATATTGCGGTAACTGGGCAAATTTGTAAATTATCGAAAAACGGTAGAAAGAAATCTAGTTGTTCCCGCCCCGAGGCTAATGATTTAATAATGTTCTTTATGGTCATTTTTTGACTATTAAAGTAACATAGAGTCTGAATATTATATAATTTAATTAATGATAAAGTTGGAATTCATTATCCAGTATAAAGGATCAATAATGTAACTAAGTTTTTTGAAAGTTTGCATAATTCAGTATCAGTATGGAGGTATCATTCTAATATAAAATTTGGCATAAACTGAGGTTCTCATGTATGGGAACGTTTAGGGTTTTTTTTTATACTACTTAGAATGGCAAACAAGCTGACGGCCCACCTGATGGAAAGTGGTAACCGTCGCCTATAGACATGAGCAGTACCATGGACATAACAGAGTATACTGTTTCGCCCATGATACCCCCCATGCGTTGCCATTACTGAGGACTCAGGTGTTATTCTTCGGTACCCAGTAAATTCACGCTATATACCACCCTTCAAACCGAAACACAGCCATGCAAACACAACTGCTTCACGGTTGAAACACGAATGGGACAGAGGTACCCAAGCAATCGACTTTTGTACAAAGTCTCCCTCTGGTTACAAGGTTTTGGTTTATACGTTTCTTTAAGAAGACGTTTAGTAAATTGATATTATTTGTTAATAATAGGGAAAGAAAAAAGAGAAAATAAAACACACAAGTCAAAAATGTTATTTATAATTGAATCCTGGGAGAAATCTACATGATAGACCTGATAGAATTACCACCAGAGTTGATAACTTACATTATATTGTATCCTAGTGTTGTCGGATAGTGGAGTCAAGATCAGTTTTATAGCATCAAAGGGGGGAGTGGGAGTATTTCGTTTCAGGAACGTCGCTCCGAGATTCTCGCTGCGCTCCAGCGTAAGCTGTATGTGTGGCGGTAAATTTATAAGTGATTAACTGTGAAATTAAGTCTTCAATATTGAAAGCGTAAATATATACGGAAGTCGATATTTACTGGTATTAATAAATATGCTTACTTAAATTCTATCGTAGCGAGATAACTGTCTTTCTATACGGATACAATCTTTAATTTTAATTCGGAAGCAGTTCTGTAGTCTTCCATTTTACAACGTGACTCGACTACGTAACTATTTAGGGATTTGAGGTTTACAATAAATCTATTTTCATTATTAAGTCTTGGAGCTAAGAATATTTTAGAAATGAACTAGCTATCTGAACTTGCAAACTGATATGGCCGGGGGGGGGGGGGAAGGGATTGTTAGTAATGGGGACTGAGAATCCCATTGCTTGCAATATACCCAACCAGGTCGACCTCCTCGCAGTTCCCCCTGGAAACTATCATGGTTAATTCCTGATGAATTCATCATGATGGGCTAACTGGCCTGTTTTCATTCTCACCAATCACCCTTCACTGGTGCTCCGCCAGCGTATCCCGTTAGCGCAGGCGGGGTTACCATTCCATTTTCACCCATTAAAAAAAATCTGATATGGCCACTAATTTTAAAAGATTGTTCATAGCTAATGCCAAATTACGTTTATCTGAGTTCGGCGGTGATGAAGTGGGTACATATGTTTGAGTAAAGAGTTATTTGAAAGGGATGCCTATACCGTTGTTAATCCACTTAAGAACTAATTTATTAGTTATTTGTTAGTCTATCTACGTGTACTTAATTTAGGAACGACGAGGTACTGACTTTCGTGTCTTGGATTAGTGTTGTTTCGTTTGAAGACGCGTGGGTTGAGCTAATGTTCGCTTGGTTCTCCAATGTCCTCCTCGCCCCTATTCCCTTGTTTGACAAGTAAAGGGACATGCCAGTTTCACCAGGAGATAGAAACTTCGATGCACTTGAGATCTTCTTTATCCGTTGACTTTGTTTAGCACTCGTTTTTATCCAGGCTCGGATATATGAATTTTATTATACTCTCCGTATTTTGATAACGAAGATCCGATAAGAGCATCCGTCATTTATAAATTTTATTACTTCGATCTTATTATTAGTACCTGTTAATAAGAAGTTGAGTCCTCTGTTTATGACCAGGATTCCTATCCCCAATTATCGTCGGAAAATTGACATCTTTTTTTTGCAATTTCCCAGTTTTAGGAATAGTGGCCAGAATCTCTGAGTTTAAGTGGCTTTCAAAAAGGAACAAAATATATATATATATATGCAAATATATTTTCCGATAATCCGTTTTTGAATAATGGCACCCAGATTTTAACTGAAAAGTCATGGATTTATTAACCACAGTCGGGAAAAACATTATTCCTTCATCTTCCATCACATTCCCTAAAGCAATTAAGATACTGGGATATACTTCTGTTAGGGTGCCTGTAACCTCTTCGCTATTATAAATAAATGTCAGCTACTGTGACAAACTGCTACAACTTAACTAAAATTTGTATACTTGTAAAAAAAAGCACTTAATTTGTGTACAAATTTACATTCCATTTTCCTTTCAGGCTAACCATGTTTTGGCAAAAATGTGTGAGGTGTGCTTGAGCAGGCCAGTGATAAAAACCTATTCAATACTTGTTCATGGAAATCACTGAATACATCCAGTGATCGGTTTAATGGTATTTGCAACCACAAAATACGTTTTCTTTGTTAGTAAATTTTAAAGCACAACAGATCCTAATGGTCGTTTTTTTTTTACAACACAGGGAGCATGCGGCTCACCTGATGGTAAGTGAGTACCGCCGCCCATGATCACCCACAACACCAACGGCATTGCAGGTGTGCTGCCGGCCTTTTAAAAAGGAATATGCTCTTTTCTTAAAGGTTATAATGTCGTATCGTTTCGAAAATACTGCTGCTGGAAGTTGATTCCAAAGAGTGGTTGAGCGTGGGTCGACGTGCAATGAGTCAGCTAGACCCCATATGCGAATATAAGAATATAGTAAATTTTGAAGGCAAAGTGACCGATTGTAATTAAAAAAATCTTTCCAACTAACGTTGATGGTCCATGTAGTTAATAAAGTGGCAGTAAACTGTACTATTACATTACTTAACATTTGTATTATTTCTATGATAAAACAATCAACGTTTGTGATGTAAGATTTAACGTGTGAGCATATGATTACGGTAGAATGCTTTGTAATATGAATGGACTCACCATTTAATCTTTCGAGTGCAATTCATATTGAATATGTTGTGAGTCGTAACATTTTAGCTAATTAAGCGATGCTCGCAAGTAATGGAATTTATTTATTTAATTATATTATTGTTACAATGAATAAGCGAAACGTAAGTATCGTGATACTGTAACCAGCTGTCGGTCCAGCCGGAATACGTAGGTAATAACATTGTAGGTAAAGATAAGCTTGTCCTACCTGAAGCATTACCAGATACCGAAGGCGGTGATTCATCGTTCACGCTTTGTGCTAAAGAAAACCTGCTGACCAACTCGTGTGTCTTGCCAACTGACGTGAAGTTTTGTTCTCGAAGATTTCGCAGTACAGGTATTCCTTTTTGCGATCAAGTCCTGAAATATACATAAAGGCTTCTATTTCAATTTGTAAGGAATCAAATTCATTAAAACACTCTTCAATTTTAAAGTACCTAATGTTAAACTCACTAAGTTGTGCTTTACTGGGTTTTTCAGAGGCAATAATTTAAATAGAAATAAATTGTTTAGCTTTGCTTTATATAAGCCACGTTTCCTTCGTAAGTCAGTCAATGTAGCCATTATGTGGAAAATAAATACACTTAATATAGAATGTAGAATAAAAAATGATTGTGTAGGTTATTCACATTTTGTGCTAAAGCATAAAAATATGTGCATCTTAAAACCCAAATATAGTTTAGAATAGGAATTAAACACCCAATATTGTAGTGATTTACAATATTAGGTATAAAGTATTAGATGGGGAAGGCTTATGTCCAGTAGTGGACAATTATCGGTTGAAATAATAATATATATGTATATATATAGTCTTCCCCTTTCTTTCTTTCGTGGGTGTCGTAAAAGGCGATTACCCTTAGTCCATTAAATTAAATAGTAGAGGAATGAGCAGTAGCATCCCTCTTAAAACATAACCAAAGCCTAACGGTTGCCGATAGCAAGCTAAACGTTGCCACTATTGGCAAAACCTGCCATAGGGGAAGGAGTATATACAGCAGTGGACAGTTAACAGTCGATGTGATGATGATGATGATATGGTACGCTAAACCATAAAAATATGTGCGCCTTAATACCTAAATTATTTTAAAATGTGAGAACTAAATGTAACAATTTACGAATATAGCAAAATGATACGTAGTATTGTGTGCATAAAGAATCCTTAAAATTTGTGCGCGTAGATATAAATAATGTTTCGATATATATACAAATGCATTGCATTGAGAAAATAATGAGAAATTACTTAAATGTAAGCGTGCAGTGCAGAACTAGCAGGTGGATAGGTAGCAAGCGATCCGCAAGAACAGCTGACTGGAAGCCGCCTCAGTTGCAGCGATCACGTGGACGCCGGCTGATACGGTACGCCGGGATAGGTGTGTAGATCCACGCTTGCGCGTTGAACTGAAATGTTATCAAAAAAAATATTAATAAATCTAACAAAATTGTCAATGATCATGTCTAAACTAATGTCTAACGTGAATGTCTAAAGATTAATTAAGAAATCTATAAGGATTTATAAAATTTACATGTACCTAAAGGATATAAAATAGAATGTATGTTACATATTTTTATTGGCTTAAACTAAATAAAATCGAAATATAATTAATAACAATGATTTATGAAATGGAATGATCTTATTAAATAGGTTTAATATAATTTTAATTTATAAATAAATTTAATTCCCAAGAGACTACAGCGCGGGGTTCTTCAAACTGGGGGTAAGGAGGTTTCTTCAGAGTCGGCAACACGCGTGTAATGCCCCTGGTATTGCAGGCATTCATAGGCTACGGTAACCGTTTACCATCAGGTGGGCTGTATGCTTGTTAGCCACCTCAGTGGTATAAAAATGAAATTTAATTAATAATAAACTGATATTGGGGGTATATGCAAAATAATATGGAACGAACTCACAATGTTACACCTCTCCAGACTGTTCTCGATTCTTGATCTTTCTTTTTATAATATTAACTTCTTCTTTAACCTTCTTAGTACAAATATTGATAATTATGTATTATAATGATTATCACTGCGCTGCTTCGTATTTTCTCGGCAATATTAACGTTGATTGTTGATTTGACTGCGCCTGTGACTAATGTTGTGCTAGCACAGTAACGCCTGTCATTGAATAACTTTCACTAGTGTCACTGGTTTCTGATGTAGGTATTTAAGTAGGTAGTTTTAAATGAACGTAAAATAATGATTCTTCCCTGATTTTCCCTGAGATTTTGCGCTTGAATCAGCGGGATCTTGGGAGGTTCTAAATCCACAAACCTAAATTGAAGATCCAAAATACAATATGTCACGATTCGTCCAAATGAAAGTCCACAATATCCGGCGCGAAGGCCCAAATGTTGGGGAATCTTGTCAGGCGAAGGTGTTCCAGGATATGAAAATGAGACTTCCTTGACGTATTTACGATTATAATTGTTAACACTTTAAACGTACAAGGTTAATAGTAACTGGTTTTAATTTATTGCCGTGTTAGCTGGCTAGTCGGCGGGCGAGTGGCGGCGGCTGCCCACACCGGCGTGACCGCCACGTGTGATTCTCTAATGACAGTATGGCACGCGCTCGATTAATTCGCATCGACAACTACCGAGTATCTATAGTAATCTGATTATGATTAAATTTACTGTAGATAGACAGATATTGTTTTTTTTTTATAAGATTACTGTAGTAAATTTATTATTGTTAATATTAAGTAATTATTATTATTTGCTGTAATTATTGTTTGTGGACTAAAGTAGTGTTATTGAAAGTAAATGTATGTACTTTTAATTAGTTTTTATTTAATTAATGTTGCGTTACAAATTTAGTTTTACAAATATTTTTTTTTCATTTATTTGGGAAAACTAACAGTGACAAATTAAAAAATAATACATAATAGTAATCAAAGGAAACATTGAATAAATTTGCCACTGACGCTGTTTACCACAGTTTCAATTCAAATATAATGCAAATAGCTGAAGCAAACAAGAACAGTTAAAAATTAAGTGAATCTTTTAGAGATTAGCTTTTTAAAAGTGCTTGGGCGTTCATTAATAATATTAACATCATTAAATAAAGCGTTATATGAATTCACAAGTCTAAAACTCTTTTTTAAAGTTTATGAAACTCGTTCAATACAAGGTACAATACATCAATATATTTGTAAAAATTTTTTTTAATAATATCTGTTAATTATTCCGTTATGTTATTATCATTATCAATTTACGTAGTAATAAAGTTACAAATATATTTACTTTGAAAATGGCGTAAGTTCAAATTCTTCGAAGACATACTTCTATTTAGTTCAAAATTGTACTACAGAATACATAATATATTTGTGTTTAATGAATAAAAAAAAATTCTTTAGTGCATTTTTATATGTGTGGCAACATTAGCACAAAGAAAATGTACAATTATTATTGTTTATCACTTCAGCCGTTAATTGCCCATTGCTAAACAAGCCTTCCCGATACGGGGAGTTTTGTCAGTAGTTGCACGGTTAGCAGACGAGTTAGCAGCCGCAGTTAGGCTTTGGAGATGTTTTAAGAGGGCCGCTGCTGCCCATCCCTCGCCTTTCCTTAGTCGCCTCTTACGACACCCACGGGATAGAAGCCCTAATCTATACCGGGAATATATGTTTTTTTTTGATGGGTGAAAATGGAATCGTAACCCCGCCTGCGCTAACGGGATACGCTGGCGGAGCACCAGTGAAGGGTGATAGATGAGAATGAAAACAGGCCAGTTAGCCCATCATGATGAACTAGGAATTAACCATGATAGTTTCCAGGAGGAACCGCGAGGAGGTCGACCTGGTTGGGTATATTGCTAGCAATGGGATTCTCAGCCTCCATTGCTAACAATCCCTTTCCCCCTGGGAATATATGTTATCACAATATAAGAATGGAAGTATATAAATGAACATGTAAACAACATGAATAAAAATTAACAGAATCAATGTATGCTTGAGTATTTAAGAGCACAATCAAGATATGCGGGAATTGTACGATCGCACGATGTTGAGTGCCTTATAATTAGTGACGTGCCTGCGGAGATATCGATATTTTAACAATTTTACTAATGAATTTATTATATTCTTTTTTGCACTTTGCAACGATTAGTTTAACAACTTGTTAGCAAGGGAGGACTTATCTCTGAAAGAGATCTCTTCCAGCCAACCCAGTGTAGTAAGAGAGAAAATAATTTAATTTGAGTAATCCAGTGCAGGAAAGGTACCGGTGAAAATAATGTAAATACAACAAACACTTTGTGAATAAATATATAAATAAATAAGTAAATAGATAATAATATGGCATATGTATAAGTGCATAGAATTATTATGTACAATTGATTAAAAGATGTGATTTCAGTCTTGTCTTGAAGGAAGTAATGGAAGGACTATCCCGTATGTCAGCAGGTTTATTCTAGTGATGCGCGACTTTACTAATCCGACTACTAATTATTCGACTGAGCAAATCATTTGGATTATTCGAATGATTTTCAAATAGTTCGACTATTAATTGTATTTAATCGACTACTAATGTCGTCCGACTACTAATATCATTTGGTTACTAATTTATTTCATTAATAGTTGTTGATGTACGAGATGGCATGAACATAGTTGAATGGAGCCGATCATTAGAATGTTTTTATACAACTTAGAATGGCAAACAAACTGACGGCCCACCTGATTGAAAGTGGTAACCATTGCCTATAGACATGAATAGTACCACGGATATAACATGTCTTTTTTTTTGGATGAGCAAGAGTGTTACCAATTTATATGTAATAAAAGGTACAAAATTTCGATTATTGTAATAATAATAAAAGATAATTGTATTATTATAATTAATAATTATAGACGCATATTGGAAGGGAATATAAATAATTGCTTATTTTTAGTATGTGTATTGGAAATGAATGCAGTTGGGTATGGATTTTTTTTTAGTCGTCACTCATGTATCACCTATACCTATTGTTGTATTAGTGGATAACAGAGAACGAACTTTGGTAGTATTAAAAGTATATAAAATAGAATTAATTGTTACTAATTAGAAAAATCATTCGAATACGAAAATCAGTATATTACTAATTGAGTAGTCGAATTATGAAATTAGTAATTACTAATTATTCGAATAACAAAAACATTCGGACTCGCGCACCGTTAATTTATTTTACTAATATAAATAAATATTACTATACAACGCCATCTAGTTCCGAACTGAGTAGATCTAGTACCATGAATACTAAACAACTAAAAAATATAATTTTGCAAATACATATAATTATAATACATAAAAATATATACATAATATTATTATAAAAGTTTATATATTTATTACTTAATTACGCTTAAATGACTGAGCGGATTATAATTTCATTTAATGGTCAAGTTTATTATATTCCAGGCTCAAACGCATTAATAGATTTCTATGATATTTAGTACATAGATAAACAATATCCTAGTTTAATAAAACTAACCCATATGGACGTGGAATACAGTCATTAATATTATTATTTGCATGAAAATTTTACCGTCATTATAACAAACCAATAATCCTTTAATGTTGTTACATAATTTAGATGGTTTGTGATTTATGATGTATAATATGTATATGTATAAAATGCAGTTGCACCTGTTTATATTTTATTGTATTTTGTTAAAAGTCCCTCTCTTGTCCCTGGTCCCAGTCCCTGGCTGAAGACCAGCGCTGTATAGCTGTACTTCTTGCACTGGGACACTCGCAACATTAGCTGAACCAGTTACTTTTAATTCATAAGAGTCACTTCTTATATATAATTTTATTGTATTTTTCTGGCAAGTAGATTAGAGAAGAATTAATGATTGTGAGATAAAAAGCCTGACTTTCATGAGAAAATACAAAATTTCGACGCGCAAATGTTGTCGCGAGAACATCAAGTAGGTACATAATGTAATAATGTAAGTACTAGTTAACCCAGTACGTTATTTTGACCCCCACTACCACCTACCGGCTCCATCTTTTCCTATCAGGTTAAAAATTCAATTTAGAGAGAACAATACACATTTGTCAAATTTCATTACAATTGGTTAAATGAGAGTAAATTGAACGGGTTTATTATATATTAACACAAAATGATATACAAAACTTTATATGTCAATTTATATGGATTTTAAACAATCCAATAATACAAAATACAGTTGATAAATCAAATTAATTCTAGATACGGCGATAAACTCACCTCCTGCCATAATGAATTCAAATACCAAACGAATCCCATATTGGATTCAAAGAATCAGCGTAAGCACAAAACTAAATAACTAAATTTTCTAAAATTCCTGTGATAGGAAAGTAGTATTAACACAATCCTAATGTTCGTTTATATGTCGTAAATATGTCGCGACACTTCTGTGTTTAAGTCCGTATTTGTTAAACACACATCTATTACACTGACTTTATCGCATTGTTTTGTCCGCGATATTTTGTGAATTACTATAAAATGTGTAAAAAGAAAAATAACAATAGAAAACCGATTTGAGAAAGAATAATTAAGAACATAATGTAATTAGACACGTAATATATAAATAAATACAAGACGAATTAAAAATCTTTTCTGGAATTCTCCTTAATGTAACATAAACGGTAACGTTTGAACCACATACTCTATTAAAATAATGATAATCTCAAAAAAAGTAATTTAAAACTTTTTGGTGAAATGGGTAACCCATAGTGTGTTGTAATTTTAGATATTTTTCAAAACCTGCATCAGTCTCAATAAAGTATATATAGGCCCAACAGAGGATTGTTGGAGTCTTAATACTGACTGTTGCCACTGAAATTTTTAAAATAGATATTATTTTTAATACTAAATTATTATAAGATAAACGTTGGACAACTCGCGGTGAATCAAGCGACTACTTGCTTTCTCGCACGAAGAACACTCCATTTCTGAGTATATCAGAAACGAACAATGTGAAACGAGGAAGATGAGTCAAATACAAAGCAGACTTCTTATCGTAAGAAGGAACCGTGGTGCTGGAAATGTAACAGAAAGGGCATCTTAAAATCGCAGTGGAAAGGGTTTTTCTGAAAACTGTATTTTATCACTGCTAAACACAAACACTGCTAGAGCAATTAACTCGGAACTAAATAATGTGACTGGACGTCGTGAATTTCATAATACGTGAGTATAGCTAGCGTACAATCTCATGACATATAGGAAATATTACATTAATTAACATGTTGTTCACCAATTTGATATCTGTTTCTCAATTGATTAAGAATGGATTTATTATATTTTTTCATATACGAGTAAAAGGTGTTGTACAATGAATAATGAAGGCGATGGAATTATCAGTACTTTTGATGTAAATGGTACCGTATTTATTATATCCGATCTGTTCTATTCCTAGTATCTAGTTAATTCCATGTAAAGTACTAGGAAAGCAAAATAATGCAGGTGTGGATTATTAGGATTATTAACTAAGAAAACTATGGGTTAATCTATAATATTACCCCCATATTTAAACTAATTGTATTTCAACAGTACAATAATAATTTCGTCAACAACAAA